ACGCTTTCCGGGTCGAGCACGTCACGTTAAGAACATGACGTCAGCCGGCTACGTGCTTGAGCCTGCCCGAAAATGTTCTCCCGTGTTGTTGGATTTCGAAGGAGCGCAGGACTTTGCAGTGAAATAATACATTTTTACCGGTGAAGGAAACAAAAACAGTCCGCATGTTTTTCGACTGAGGGCATTCACAGTGCCATTTTTTGGTCGAACTGTGATTTTAAACGACTCCAACGGGAAGTTTACGTGCTCGTTTTTCCCGGAGTGATGTCGAATCCTGGGAGTCGGAGGAACGGGTCCAGCATCAAAATCCGACTGACAGGTAAAAAGGGAGACCGAAAGAAATCGCTTACAGTGCATGTTTTACCTGGAGCTGATATTCGTTTTCCACTAAGCACTGCTGCAATATGATGACATTGTTAAACTTATCAGGTCACCGATAAGTTTCTTTGAGGGTCTCGGGTCTCTTGTATCTCTAAACATCCGGTTTTTGTGTGGCAAACAGCAGCAGAAGTGCTAGCTTGTTAGCTTAAATGCTAACTACATTATCAACAGGACGGGCAAGTGCTTGTCCATTTTGTTGTGCTTCACAGACTAGACAGGCGGGTCTACGGTTTGGAGGTCGTTGGAAACGACGACATTTGAAAGCCGTTGAGAAACTTTATTGACTGCCTGTGCTCGTCTGTGAGGCTGTTAGCGTTAGCCTATAGTAACATTGTAGATAATGCTGACCGCTAATGCTTGCTAGCTACACCCATTTTTTTCTGGGGGGGTGGGTGACTCCCAGCCAAACCTAACCTTTCTGGTGGATGCGACGGACTGTGCTACAAGAACGAAAGCAAACATCATCTGCAGCCTCTCTGAAAATGGATTTACCCGTTGATATGGCATGTTAGCCTAGTTAAGCGAGGGGTTATTGATTGACATTTCGATGCGGCTAAACTCGTTGAACTTATCCCTACCCGGAGAAGTTGAACACACGCTGTTTAGGTATCAGGCACTCGACTCATCTGAGACATTTCTGCAGTTTCTGGGTCAGGGTGTTCTCGTAGGGCATGGAGGCGTCTCGCACTCCTGTCCCCCTTCTCACACTCGGACACGTCCGTAACAATGAGTTTTACTGTGGCTAATGTAACGCCACCAGGCATCGAGGGCCCGCTATTCAAATGGAAATGACCTTTCTGAGCCGCTGGGTAGACGCCTTGGCCGCTTTCTGATTCAGAACCAAACAAACACACACACACACACACTATCAGCCCGAGTCTCCTTCCTCGTATGCCTCTGTGTGTGAACCAGTGCTTTATGAAACAGTAGGCCCGTCTGTGTCTGTGGTGGATGCTGTTAAAATTTAAACGAGTACCAAACATTGATGAAGCGGTCTACAGACATGGCTGACATATGACCTCTCATTTGCTACAGTGAGGAAAAAGTCACCCAGACTTCCTGTTTGAGAAACGCCATCTAATTAGGAATCATGACATTTTCTTTTAGGATTAGCTGCCATAGGTAGGAGGAGTTGGGTAATGATGTCTGTCCTTTTCTGTTTACTTATCCCTCAGCTGTAGCAGATAAAGAAGAAAGGCTGTCTTTGGAAATTTCAAAGGCAATTTCCAAAGACAGCCCTGAAGTTATTGTTGTTCTTTTCATGCCAACAGAATCTCACAGATTATACATTGAGCCCTTTCAGGTGATTATTTGTTTGTTGGTGGTAGTGAGAACATAAGTACTAAATGAGGAGATTGCCTTTTGGTTTTTGTTCAGTTTTTCTTATAAAGCTGGACAAGGACCTTTCTGAGAGTTATGTAGAATAACTATGGTGAGACCACATTTTTCTTATGGAATAAAAATGGTACCACAGATTCCACAATATGTAAAAGCTGTTGTGGACAGAATAAAAATTGAAAAAAAGAATCTAATCGAGAGAATAAATAAGCAATATAGGATGTATAAATCAACTCCAAGATCTATGGTGGTGAGTGGTGGTTTTTAAGCCTAAAGTGAAAAAATATGTAATAAAAACTTTGAATAGGCAAGATATTTATAGAATGTCTCACTTCCACTTCTAAGTGATCCCACGTATATTGTTAATTTTGGGCCTTTTCTTTTTTTCTTTTTAGAAGAACCAGTAGTATCATGACTGCAAATGGACTCATTGTGGAAGTTGGCCATGCATTAAATGGACTAAAGCAAATGACAAGACAGGGGTGAAGCTGGTGATTCAGATGAGCCGTTGTTTGGGGGATTGGGGGGGACAAAACTGTGAAAGTGTGAGTGGGTGTGTATAAGGCAGTCCCTTATTATTTCAGCTTATATGCTAAAAGGGTCATTGCCCCTGAGTGTGCCCCGCCCCCACAGGTATGATAGGAATTCTAATTGGGTGAAGAATGTGCATTGAAGCAGTGTGAGTGCCATGCTGCTGCGCTGGTCAGCTCTGTTGTGTCTGTCAGACAGAGCCGTATCAGCCAGGCTGCGTACATGGCAGAGGGGCAGTTTGGTGTGGGGTCAGAGAGGTTTCTCCGTTCTATTATTATTGGCACTTTTGCTGATATGATGGTTCAGCTCCAGTCTGACTGACCAATAAAAGCATTTTGCGAGTATAAGAAAAACATCTTTTGTCTCTTCAAAATCAGACAGTTTCATGGTTTAACCACATTGCTGTCGGATCTCAAGCTAAACTGATGCACGGTGCACACTTCACGTCTTCCGCACACGATGGTTGTCACTCTAAACACTTGCTTTGTTGGCTCGAAAGACTCCCCATGACTTTCCGAAAATTTAAAGTACAGTAAGTTCCTGATGTTTTCCAGCCAGCTTCCTAGTGAGAGCAGTTGAACAACAAGCCAAAAGCTGGTCGTTGCTAGCATCTGCAGCCTCTTTTGTACATAGAGTGATGTTTCTTTGTTACTAATAATGCAAAGGGTGGAAATACAGAGGATGGAGCGTGTTTATCCCTGAGTCGGCACGGTGAGTCGCAAGGGAGGCAAAACGGTCCTGATTCCGCATCAAGCCAGTACCAAAGCACCGGCCACCAGCCGTGCCCTCATCTCTCGGATGAATCCAGTGTGATGTGTGTAAGGAGACAGCGATGTGGGGCTGACGTTCCTCTAATGGACATTTGTGAGTTACAAGGAGGAAACTGCAAAAGGTTCATGAGGCAAATGAGAGAAACCACTGTGAAATACTATTCAGCTGTTATTTTATCATAGCATTAACCCTGTATTGTTTGAATAAACAATAAATCCTTAAAACAAGTGTGCAAAAACAATACATATGAGAGTTTAGTTCCAATTGGGGAAAAAAGGGTTTTAAATCTAAATACAATTAAGCAGTCTTTAATAAATCTAGAACCATGCTGGACAATATAACTTGAGCCCGACACATTTTTAATTTATTGAATAACTGATTTACTCCTGTACTACTCTGTACAGCAGAGTTACGTCCTCCTGGGCACACATGCATGGTAAATTTAGAGTGGTCACTTTGGATTTGTTCGCTCCTACACTGCTGATGTGGGGAGACTCAGCGAGGGGCTTTAGTTGCTTCCAGTTCTTATCAGGGACCTGTGTATACGAGCCTAAAGAAGTTCAGCAGATCAGCCAAAGAGACTGATGGCATTTGCTATATGTTGTAGCGAAAACACAGCAAATCCATCACAAGCACATGTCCCTCTGAGTGTACGTTCTCCTCTGATGACAGTGTAAAAACCTGTTTACAACTGCAGAGAATTAGCAAACGTTCGCTGGCTTCAAAACAAACCATCCACTGCGCTGACAAAGCATTTCTGACCTCGTGGTGGTATTGGTTGTAATATAAACACGCTGAGCTGTTCACAATGTGCAGCAATGTAAAGAGTCTGAAATGCAGTATGCACCTGTTCAACGGTCACTTTGCAAGACCAGTAATGTTAAGTATGGAAAATGTTTGTTTTCCTTTTTCTTCTTTTTAAAACTGTGATAGAAAAGGAGCTCTTGTAGCAGGAGCTCTTGCTGTGCTTTACCTGTACCACGTTGCAGAGATGCACCATCTTCACTCTCCTTGGAAAGAATGCTAGAGAGTGGGAGCTTCTCTGCAGTCCCCCCCCGCCCCCCCCCCCTCCCCGGTTAAATGGGATGCAGAGGCTCCTGTTCTGCACTCTGCTTCCCCCTAACAGCGCTTACAGAGCAGCGTTAGAGGAGCACACAGCCTCGCTCACAAGGCTGATTCTCTGCTGTTTGCTGCATTGATGGTGATTTTGAAGTTGGTCGATCTTAGAGAATATGTGATTATCCCCAGATTTTTATTTAATTATTCGTTTTAAATTGTGTGAACAGTCCTGATTAAAAACCGGGGTGCGTTAGAAGACAAAATGCCGGAAATAAGTAGGTCGCAAAGCAGAAAAGAGGTGTTTTTGTCTTTAAGTGAATGGGGAGTATTGTGGAAAACCGGCATCTACTGAATGCGTCAGTGGTTCAGCGGGGATCATGTTAATTTGCCCATGGAAGCAACACGTGCTGCTTGGACTCTGGAGCCAGCTAGTCGGATTGAACACAGAGCAGCCCAAACACAATGCAGAGCAGCAGCCGGACAAAGACCCAGTCTGAGGTTCTCACAAGAGATTGAGAGAGGGCAGAGGAGTGAAGGAATGTGAAGTCCAAACAAGTTAAAAAATGAAATGTAACCAGAAGGAATGTAGTCAGATGAAGATGAGACAGAATTTTGCTCGCTAAACAACCGAAAACACATTTCTATCCTGTCATTTTCTGAGCTTACTCTGTGTGAAAAAGAAAAATAATCATTTTCTCTGAACGCCTCATTTCAAGTTTGCTTAACCCACTTACAATTGTCTGTCAGTGACCATGGAAACATCCCATGTGTTTCTGTGTGTGTTTAGATGATAGTGCAGTGTGTGTTATTAAGTGGGTGAGATATTTGCCCACATGTCCACAGAAGACTGCTGTGCTGTTTGAGTTGAGAGCAGAAGGTGACGAAGGAAATGGCTCTGGTGTAATAAAACATGGATCATTGTTCCGGTCCAGTCAGTCCTACGGTTTTTGATTGTCATCTCAAGTTTCCACCAATGGATCATTACTTACTGGAAGGAATCTATAGAGAAGCAACATCACAGGACAAGTAACACTTCTTTTTTTCTGCCAGAATATTGTGCATTTTATGTACTGACTATAAGAATTGTGGTAGTTTGCGTTGCCACGATACCCGCACCCCGCTGCAGGCAGAGTTGGCCCAGCAAAGGTTTTTGCTCTTATAATTCTTTTGACAGATTAGAAATTAAATCCAGAGTTTTGGTATTAGGACCCCCACCCAAGAAATGGCCATATAATTTTGTGTCTCTCTGGATGTCAAACTCTTTTATTTTGGTAAAGGTTGTTTTTGTAAAAAGAAAAAGACACAATGACTTGTTGTTGGAGCAAATAGCCTCATAATAAGGCAGCTCAATCGTCCCACAATCATCCCTATCTCCGTCTAAATCTTTTTAGGGAAAAGGAGAAGCTATAAGGTCCCCAAAAAGAAGAACATGGCCGTGGGTGGTTGAGAAGCAGCTGAGCTTTTCGCTGTGTGTCTTTACCAGGCATGACCTTGGCAGAATGAGTAATTTCCTGAGACTGTGTGAAAGGGCCTGTCACACATTCAGGGCCACCAAAGAGCTGGCCAGGACGGGGGGGGGGGAGAAAGCCTGAATGGGTGAAATTAGAGGGTTTTTTTCTGTCTCTGGCAGGAGATCGGAGGATTAAGAGGTGTGGATAGCACAGCGGGGATGGTGACAAGGGAAGTCTTGTACTGCTCATCTGAAAGAAGAGACAGAGATCAGACACTTCCTTCTTTTCTTTTCTGACTGTGCTCCTTTCATTTTGTCTAAAGTAAAGATGAGGTCTCGGTGTGGAATGCGTGAGTCAAATTGAGAAGGAATGGAAGGGGTTGACAAGGAAGAGGGAAGGATATCCTGCAGCCATTCTCCATGGGTTAATCACAGGAAATAGGCCCGACTGCACCAGACACATCTCAGCCACTACCGTCACCACATCCTAAACCGCTGGATTCCTGACTAACTTCTGGCAATTTGGGCCAAAAAGAAAAAAAGACCTAGATTTAGATCATACCGTGACAGGTGATATGTCAGTGAAGACAAAAGCAGGAGCTCTCACCTCTTTAATGTTTCCCACAACCTCTTTCAATCAGCATAAAATGTCTCGAGGAGAGTTATTGTAATTATTAATTCATCCTCAGATTTATTTTGTAATTACCCCAGTTATCACAGCCTAAAACTGTTAATTAGAATTCTCCAGAGCCTGGGGGAACCTCGTCAGTAATTTTTTTTAATGTTATCAGCTGTCTTGACACTAAAGAGTCTAAACACTAAGAGACTAAACCGGGACGAGAGGCAGATGAGCTCATCATAAACTGGGCCTTTTGGCTGTTTGACTGGTAATAGCAGTGGTGATGCACCTCCTTTTGAGACATTTGTAACATTCATTAAAGTTAATCAGGGCTCCATTCAGGGCGTGTAAGCAAGGCAGAGCCAGCATGCATGCCAATTGTCAGTGTTGCAGTTGGGGTGTAATTATAAAGTTGTCATACAGTCAGTTTCTTCATGTCATGTCATTTTGCCACTACAAGTCATATTTAAGTCTGTCCTGGTGTTTCAGATCATTGAGCAGAAAGTCGTATCTACAAAAACGTAGTTTTCTTATTGCTAAAGGTTCCGTTTGACTATTGTAGCAGAATAGATTTAATGAGGGCAGCGTCTCTAAACGTCATCATAAGCCGTCAGACAAGATGCTGCACTTCCAAAGCTCTTTGTTCCATTGTAATATATTTACATTCTTCACATGCAATGTTGTCATTCCATTAAATGAAATCACAGCAAGCTAACCAGCATGATGCATAAAGCTGTGGACGATCACCTTGGCCACTTTTTAAAGAGTTTTCTCCCCTTCATAAGTGTGTCTGAAATTGTGACAAAACCAATCAAATCACTCGGATTCTTTCTAACATCTTACCCATTCATGCGACTGCAGCGGCTCAGGGTGGAAGTGAAACATGCATATTTGGATCTGACCTTTTAGCTAGAGCAAAATGTTTGACAGTAACTGTCTGATAAATTTAAACTTCTCATGACTAAATGAGGCTCCGGTTTTGTCATGCTTGTCATTACTTGTTTCTGGCTATAACATGACAGTTTATCCCACTCAGTTAGAAATACTCAGTGCTTAGTTTACTATGGCACAAATAGTCCATCCATCCATCCGTCCATCCAACGTCCATAACTTATCTGGGCTCGGGTCAAGGGGCAGCAGCCTCAGCAGGGAAACCCAGACTTCCCTCTCCCTGGCACTTCTGCCAGCTCCTCCGGGGGGATCCCGAGGCGTTCCCAGGCCAGCCGAAAGACATAGTCCCTCCAGCGTGTCCTGGCTCTTCCTCTGGGCCTCCTCCAGGTGGGACATGTCTGAAACACCTCATCAGGGAGGCAACCGGGAGGCATCCTGATCCAAAGTTCGTGGCCATAGATGAGGCCAGGAATTCACCAATAAATCGAGAGCTTGGCTTTTAAGCTCAGATGTACATGAATGTACAGACCGGTACAGCGCCCGCATTACTGCCGACACCACACCGATCCGTTTATCGATATCCTGCTACATTTTACCCCCATTTGCGAACAATACCCCAAGGTACTTGAACTCCTCCACCTGGGGAATGACATCCCCCCCCCCTGACCCCGAGGAGGAACTGCCCCTGATACCCATGTGATATTGCAGGGGCACATCAGCCAGTACAAATGTTTTTCTTTGCATTCATTCAGAAACCTTTTTCCTTAGATTAGATCTACATTTGTGTATGCAGCATTTTATTTACGTGTTGTTTCTTCTTTTTTCAGTATTATGTGCCAAGAACCTTGCAAAGAAAGACTTCTTTCGTGAGTACTTTTGTTCCAGTTCCATCATTTCCCTGTTCTAATAACTGGTAAAAAACAATGAGGAGATTTGAGGTGCCATTAGAGGCACCATTTACCACGTTCACCCTCTTCATTGGAAAAACATTTCTGTGTGTGACTGTAATCGTGCAGGTCTGCCGGATCCATTCGCCAAGGTTGTCGTGGATGGGTCGGGTCAGTGCCACTCAACAGACACGGTCAAGAGCACACTGGACCCCAAATGGAATCAGCACTATGACCTGTGAGTATCCCAAACAACTTATATTTATCAATGTTGTTTTTCTGAATGGAGTCGTTGCTTTCACTTCAGGGAAGCGTTCCAATAAGTTTAGACATGTTTAAACTGTCCGTGACATTCAGATACCTCAGATTGTTTACAGTTGGTGTTTGAAAGGTTAAAGAAAAATGCATAAAGAGGAAAGAGTCTAACTTTTTTCTTTCCTCTTGTTTTTTAAGCTATATTGGAAAGACAGACTCCATCACCATCAGTATATGGAACCACAAGAAAATCCATAAACGTCAGGGAGCAGGTTTCCTGGGCTGCATACGACTGCTTTCCAATGCCATCAGCAGGCTAAAAGACACAGGATGTAAGATTGTTTAGCCCATGATTTGGAATAAAAATATGCCTTTCTCCAAGAGCATTAATTCTTCTCATTTATATTGACCTCAGTAATATCGATGTTTACTTTCTATTCCAGACCAGCGTCTAGATCTATGTAAGCTAAACCCCTCTGACGGTGATGCAGTGAGGGGGCAGATTGTAGGTAAGGCTGGACCCATCTAATAATTACCCGCTTTGTTTCTCCCCACGCGGCCTGTTTTCTGCCTGTGTGCATTTTCTCCCTGCCCACTCTGCCACACTGCCAGCTCTCTGACCTCCACACTTGCTTGTTTACAGTGAGCCTACAGACGCGAGAGCGCATTGGCAGCGGTGGCCCTGTGGTGGACTGCCGAGGTCTGTTAGAAAACGATGGGTAAGCGCGGCACCAAATGTTCTGCCGACAGTAGCATGCACCAACTTTTAGACGCAGTTAGTCTCAGTTATATACATGTGCTTGTTTTTTTTAACTGGTCCACGTTTTTGGACAGGCCTGTTTTTGAGGGATGCTTTAGTGAAGAACCGCTGCCCTACTCTGACCCCACGGGTGCTGCTGGGGGTGGGAACTGCCGCCTCGACTCCCCGGGTCAGGAGGGCCGTCTTCAGACACAGCGAATCAGAGGGCAGGACTCCAGAGGGCACGGCCACACCCCTCAGAACAGACCTCATGGGCACCAGCCGCCTGACCTGCCAGAGGGCTACGGTCAGTCGGCCATCCCACATTTATGTGCTGTTAACCGGATCTGTCAGAACGGCTCACACACTGTCAATCTCATTCTTCTCATTTAAAAAAAAAACAGAGCAGAGAACAACCGTGCAGGGCCAGGTGTACTTCCTTCACACGCAGACAGGCGTCAGCACCTGGCACGACCCCCGGATACCCCGGTATGAACATACTCCACTGTGGCAGTCTAAGCACAAGCTGAAAGTAGTTTTTTCATTTGCTACAGCGGTGGATGAAGGTGACATGAAGAAGAATAGGAAAGACAAACTGTCAAATAAGGTTAAGCTCAGTGGAATTGGTTTGCTGGTTTTACGACTGGGCTGTCTCAAAGCAGAAAATGAACACATAAATGTGAGAGTATAGTCCCTCACTTCTGTGCTGGAATCAGGAGGAGCTTTGATAGGCAGGAAACCAGCAGCCTTAAAATGCCCTCTGCCTCCGACGCAGGGACCTGGCCAGTGTCAGCTGCGAGGAACTTGGTCCTTTGCCGGTGGGCTGGGAGGTCCGAAGCACCGTGTCTGGACGCATCTACTTCGTGGACCACAACAATCGAACCACTCAGTTCACCGACCCACGTCTACACACCATTATCAGGTGTGCACAGGCTGCTGTTGCTCTTTAATGTCTTAAGTCGGACCACATCTGGATAGACGTGTGTCAAACTTACAAAAAGAGAAGTTCAAACTCTTAAAATGTGGTAGGCAGGAGTGCCTCTCCAGCAGGTGAATGTTCAGAATGTCATCCTGCACGCTCTGCTCACATTCCTCCATCTCACCAATGTTGTGTCGTCCCCCGTGCTCCTGTTTTTCTTCTCTCCACCTTTCAGCCAGCAATCCCAAGTCAAGGAATCGTCCCAGGCTCCCCAGATGGATTTGGGTGTTGAGGAGGGGGGAGGTGGAGGGGTGAGCAGTGGCGGAGTTGGAGGAGTTGGAGTTGGAGGAGGAGGAGGAGGAGGAGAAGGCGATGTGGCGGCCCGCTACGAGAGGGACCTGGTGCATAAGTTGAAGCTCCTCCGCCATGAGCTGTCACTGCAGCAGCCTCAAGCGGGACACTGTCGCATAGAGGTGTCCCGAGAGGAGATTTTCGAGGCTAGTGCCATTTGCTTCTGGTTCACTGTGGGCTGATTCCAGACAATATTTCAAGTTTGCAACCAATTCAGATAAAGAATGCCGTGCCGTTTGTGTTCACAGGAATCATATCGACAGATAATGAAGATGAGGCCGAAGGACCTGAAGAAACGTCTGATGGTGAAGTTCAGAGGCGAGGAGGGCCTGGATTATGGTGGAGTGGCAAGGTACTCGCTGTTCACACATCTGGGGAGTTGGGACTGTGCATCTTATATTTCTCATAGATCATTCCCCGGCATCAGATGCATCTCAGTGTCCAGTTTTAAGCCAAACAAGCATTTCTGATCCGAACCCACCTTAAAAACTAAGAAGTTCAACAAGTGGCAATGGTTTACTGAAACAATTCTGGGAATAAGTAAACCATAGCTGTATTATTCATTAATCCAAGACTTCATTAAGCTTCTCCTGTTTACTTAATCGTGATAAGCACTCTGCTCCAGAAAGTGAGAGAGTGTATTAGAGAAAAAAGCTTTAATTGGTTTTACTTTAAGGTCAAATTTGTGGCCCTAGTTAGTGTGGTTTTTCTTAAGGGTGAATAAAATTGATGTGAAAGGACCTAGGTAGTAAATCTGTGAGCTGGGGTTGGCCTTGAAATGCATTGAAATGCAATAGACGAGGCAATTGTAATTTTTGCCATTTCAGTCAGCGTAAAGATGTGCACCCTTTCAGTTCCAGTAGTCCTGAATGCGTTGACACAGTTGTCGTTGTCTTTAGGGAATGGCTGTACCTTCTATGTCATGAGATGTTGAATCCCTACTACGGCCTGTTCCAGTACTCCACAGATAATATATACACACTACAGATCAACCCTGACTCCTCCATCAATCCCGTGAGTCCTTGTAAAAACACCAGGCGTGCCGGTAAAATCCAGACTCTTTGTGTTTCTGACTTTGTGTTCCTTTTGCCGACGTCTCTCAGGACCACCTGTCGTACTTTCACTTTGTGGGCCGCGTCATGGGCCTCGCTGTGTTCCACAGCCACTATATCAACGGCAGCTTCACGCTGCCCTTCTACAAACAGCTGCTAGGCAAACCCATCCAGCTCAACGACCTGGAGACCACTGATCCCGAGTTGCACAAGAGCCTCGTGTGGATACTGTGAGCACTGCTCATAAATCATCTCTGATTTTTTATTTATTTTTTCCAGCCCAGTGTTGCTTACTTTAGCTTTGTGTGTGCAGAGAGAACGACATCACGTCGGTGCTCGATCACACCTTCTGCGTGGAGCACAACGCCTTTGGGAAGTTCTTGCAGCACGAGCTCAAACCCAATGGCAGAAATATTCCCGTCACAGAGGAGAACAAGAAGGAATATGTCAGGTGATCGCACACACTCTGTCCAACAGCGGCCCCAATGGCCTGGAAAAGGAGTGCAAACTTGTTTTCGACTGACTTTAACCTGTTTGTTTTTCTTTTTTTTTTATTGTGTGTTTCAGACTGTATGTGAACTGGAGGTTCATGCGTGGAATCGAGGCTCAGTTCCTCGCTCTGCAGAAGGGATTCAGTGAGCTCATCCCGCAGCATCTCCTCAAACCATTCGACCACAAAGAGCTTGAGGTGCACATCTATTCTCTGCAAGATAAATCAGCTTTCATGAGAGGCCAAGATAGCAAAGAGAAACGCTCATTTCCTGTCACCTCTTTGTATCTGTCCAGCTCATCATCGGCGGGCTGGGAAAGATAGACCTCGCCGACTGGAAGACGAACACACGCCTGAAGCACTGCACAAGCGAAAGCAATGTGGTGCGGTGGTTCTGGCAGGCGGTGGAGGCCTTCAGCGAGGAGAGGAGAGGACGACTCCTGCAGTTTGTCACAGGCTCCACCCGAGTCCCACTACAGGGGTTCAAGGCGCTGCAGGGTGGGTCATGCACTGTTACAGATACCTGGTGCACACAAGACACCCACTGTCATCAGGCTACTGGGAACTCCGGTTCCTGGCAGCCTTAGGAATCAGATTTGACCTTTGAGAAACTGATAAACAATCTGTTTCCCAAAGTAGAGCAGTGATAACTAGAATGTATGTGTGTAAGGCTCTACAGGTTCTGCAGGACCAAGACTCTTCACCATCCATTTGATAGACGCCAACACAGACAACTTGCCCAAGGCCCATACGTGGTAAGGACAGGCAGCTGATGCACTTTTCTCTCCGAACTCCACTTTGTCAGCTGTCGCTAACGATTCTTTCCCGTTTTCAGTTTCAACAGAATAGACATCCCTCCTTACGAGTCTTACGAGAAACTTTACGAGAAACTGCTGACGGCCGTGGAGGAGACCTGTGGCTTTGCCGTGGAGTGATGGATCCAACTCCCTTTCAACAAACAGTCACACCTGCTTGCACTTCCACACAACTGTTCTGACATTTTGCATATATTTACACACAAACAGACTCTCAACTACACACAGCAGCCAAGCATCACAAGGAAACACACAGTCTCTTGCCTCCTCCACAACACCGAACTGTTGGGGGCCTAAAGGAGGAAGCACAGCAAGAGGGGGGTGGGGGGATTTTAAAATTTTTCAACGTTTTGGAGAAGCATTTTTATTCTTCAGTTTTAACAAGCTATGAGGTCATTCTTCCGAATGTCCAATCACAGCAAATTTGACTCCAGTGGCGCTCGAGTCTCTGGACAGAATCAGCCAATCACGGACGAGCCTGCGAACAGAGACTTAAGATTTGTGAAGAACAAGACAAAGAGCGGTCGTCTTTCTCTCTGACAAGCTGATCGATTGACTAGTATTCATGCTTTATGTTTAACCACTGTCGTGTGTGTCTGCATGCATGTGAGGGAGAGACAATTTTGTTGAGTTTCTTTGTAAGTTTTTGTGTGTGCGTGTGTGTATGTGTGTACGCGTGTGTGCGTGTGTGTGTGTGAAGCATGGCACTCGGTTATGCTGTAAAAATGATCAAATGAGCCGGTCCTCCGTTTAGTAACTTTTTGTCTCTTACATTTGTATCTGCGACCACTCTGATCCACTCTGATATTTTATTATTTATTACTAAGTGATTACTGACCAAGCTGCTATACGCTCTACAACGAGCCCTCACTAATCTCTTAATTCAGCCCTCTACCAGAGTTGAAGGGTCAATTCTAATGCAATTCAAGTAATCCACAAAGTGGGTTTTATTGAATTTTGTTACTTTTTATTTTTCTCTAACATTCATATTACTGTGGAGAAATGCTCTTGTCAGTATATGAGAACTGTAGGTCTCTTGGTGTTTAAGATACCAGGTTACATATGTTGAAGTGAAAGGGAAATTACTTTTCCTGGCCATGGTTTTTAAAAACTAACTCATCTGGCAGTATGAAGATGTCTGAGGGCATGTCTCGGATTTTTTTTGTTGGGTTTTTTAAATTTTTTTAAAATCAATACGAGCCTCAAGGAAGGAGAGAAGTTTTTTTCGGGAGATTTCATTTGTGACCTAAAATAAAATCTCTTAAGCCTTTCATACATATTGCATTACCCATAATGCTATATTTTTACTCATGTTTCTCAGCCCTTTTTTTCACCATCGCCCAAATGTTTGTTAAAAGTAGCCATCACGCTTAAGACCACCATGAATGAGACTTTTCAGTCATCAAAGCTCCATTGAAGCAAATGAAATCAAACTTAAATGTTGAGCAAGTTACATGAAATGGAAAAAAAAAAGGTTTGGATTTGCTGTAGATTGAAGACTGTTACGCAGTATTATTTCAATCTGCATTTTCTAGGGTCTGAGTTCACTGTGGAATGGATGCAAAAGTATTGTAACTTACAATGTACTAAACATTTATGAAAAAATACAGTGTAAATAAGATTATATCTAAAGATATTAAATTGAAAATACAATCATTGTGTTATGTGTGTTGTCATTACAAATACAGATTTTGAATTGATGAGAGAAAATCGTTATTTCTTTTTATAGTTTGCTAATTAAGGGTTGGAAATCTTACAAAGGCAAATAATAATGATATGCTGTGGGGTGAAAATTATTGTAATAAAACATTTGGAGTCAGATCATAGGCCAACTAACGAGTGAATAAATAGCGAGGCTTTTTTGCTCTTACTTTGTTGTAGAGACATGTTTAAGTATCTTAACGCTGAAATAATGAAACATCTGCATCCGTGCAAAAATATTTGTTGGCATTTTTTTAATCTGAAACACATTCCAGCCTTTTTCTAACTCGAGTTGCTTCATCTGAAAGACTGCATTTCCCAGAAGACCACTTCCCTACGTCGCGAAAGGCATCTTACGTATGACGACAGTACTGTTCTTGTTTTGGCAGTTTGTTTCGATATATTACGAATTGTCAGCCTTATCAAGGAGGCGGACTACCTATCATTATATTGCTTATTCACGACGATGCTGCGGTATAGTACACTTTTCTTTCTGTGTTTTTACACCGAGAGTTTGCAACGTATGTTGAAGGCTTTGGACCAGTGTTATATGGTCCAAAATCCTCACTGAAGCCAGCTAACTAGTTACCCTAATAGCTAGCCATACTGCTAAGCTAGTCAGCGTTAGCATAGCTAAGTTCAGGGTTTGGGTTGTTTGTGTCAGCGGAAATGATTGATTAGTGCTCTGACATCTTTGTTTCCATATTTTATTCCGACGTAGTCATGTTCAGCTTGATGTCAGTAAAGTAAATGCAACGCAATGAGTTTAATCCGGTATAGCAACATTGTCAGCTTCTCGCAGTGTTACCGCGTACTGTTGAATAACGTGTGATTTACATTCAATCATACCGTTGATCAAATGCATGACGACCATGCGCTTGCACGTGGAGCTAAAAGATAAACTGCTGAAAAATACTCTTACTGTCTGCTGTATCACGTGTGGACTGTTTAAGCCATTGTGTTGTTCTGTTTCTTTCCCTATTGGTAACATAGTTATTGTGCTCCTCATTAAACTGTCTTCATCTTCGTAAATCTGTATTAAGTATTAAGATCTATATTAAGATCGGATCGTTTCTGGTAATAGGGTGGAGCCCAGCATTGTTTACTTTCCGTAAATCTAATGACAACAAACGATGAAGTTAGAAATGAAACCATTTGTTGGATTCTAGGGGAATACCTGCTCAAATATCTTTTCTCTGAGTGTACATGCAGGAACCAACATCCTCAACTGGCTCTCCAGTTAGGGTTAAGTTGCCTGTCCTTGAGAAGAACCTGAATGTATTTTTTTTATGTCTATGGAACAGATGCAACTGACTTGGCAGTGATTCTCTGTGTGAGCTGATTCGGGGAACTGGTAAGTGTAGTTTCAGGATGGCAGATGGAGGCAACGATGATGATGTCATTCACCTGGCAAGTTTCAACATTCACCGTAGTCAAGGTGAGAAGCGGCTTTGTCTTCACACATATGCGTATATGCAACTCATCCTGCAAACCGTTAGCCTCATGCATGACTACCTTATTCACAAACATTAGATCTGAGTTAGGCCTCGGGTATTGCACTTTTCTGTTATTCATGTCTTCATTAGAATGTACTAAATTCAACCTTTAGGGTCAGTTCCTGTTTTCCACTTTTGAAAAGTTAAAACTGATCCTTCCTGCCTTTTCGACAGGTTTTAAGTATTTGAAAGAAAAAAGGATCTCTCTATATATATATATATACATATATATATATACATATATGTGTGTGTGTTTTCATTGTAAAAACATTGTGTCTTTGGAAGTTTTGCAAATAAAAAACAACTGATTAGAAACAAAAATCTAAATGTTATGCTTTAAACTGTAGATCCTCACCTTTTCCTCTTACACATGGCAAAACACGAATTGCTTCAAACAAGATATGATACCCTGTAATGTATTGTCAGATTTCCATGGAAATTCTATGAAGTTAGTATGAAGTCAGTATGCTGACATATGCAGTTCAAGCATCTGTTGTAGTGCCACTATTCCAGCATATAAACTGGTCCTGTGCTTTACATGTGATAACTCTTTGAATTATGTTTGTAAAACCTTCTTTGGCCAGCTGGCCAGTTTCAGTGTTGCAGAACTTACAGCTATATCACATTACATTTATACCCACATTACCCGTTTGGAGTGCCTTTTTTGTGTTTGTTTGTTTTAAAGAGATGTGTCTCCTTTCAAATGTGTGAACAGGAAACACTCATCTGTTTGTTTCTGGAAGTCACAGGTTTGTCTGGCTCCAAATCAAGTTTGTGTTATCGGTCAGTGCAGTTTGCAATGTGTTTGTGTTGCCGGAATGTGAAAATCCATTATTGTTGTCGGACACAAGTGTACTAGTACACAGATTTCTTTACATTGTTCTCTGTTTCTTTATCCTCTGTCTCCATCTCAAAACCAGGTTTTTTCCCAGGGTAAAAAATTAGATGCAGATAAGTGGTGCATGTAGCATTTGGCATCTTTAGGAAAACTTGTATATTTTGTGGTTTTGATCAAAACTTCCACACCAACGGGCAGCAATGTGAACATTAAATGTGTGTAACTGTCACCCAACTTAGAAGAAAAACATTTACATTTTGATCAGTGCTGTTTTCTTGACAGGAAGGATTGTATTCATGTAAGTTGTTTTGCTTGAACCACTTGTTCAAGTAAAATGGTCGTAATAGCATAAAGATTTCATGTCCAGCTCAATCTTTGTGTGTATGATGTGATCTGTGCAGGCTCCCGTGCTGGTCAGAGGGAGTTAATCACCATTTCAGATGATTCAGATGAAGAGCCGGTGACTTTGGTGCCTGGAAGCCCCGTCTTAGTCCCAGATGATGCAGATGATGACGACGTCAGCATCTTGGAGGTGACCGATAAAGTTCTCAGAACATATGGTCATACTAGTCTTTTATAAGATCCACGTTGATGGTTTATTTTTTATTTCCTCTGTGTTGTCCTCCAGCTGCCAACTCCTTCACGCAGGCCTTTGATTCGCCAAGCAGCCATATGGAGCGGCGCCTCACACAGTCCAGTTCAAGTTATTGGTCAAAGTAGCAAAACCTGCGCTGCTTCCACAGGGACCCCTGACTCGGCTCCTGTTACCTCCAGGGACGCCAAGACCAACCAAACAGCCATAGTGGCGAAAGCCACAGCGCCGTCGGGCTCCTCTGGACACATACCGCCACAACCCGGTCCATCGTCACACACGCATTCACAGCCAAAGCATTACCCGCACACGCAGCATCAAGACGGTACGCCAACACTTCCACACCTGGAGCTCCGAGGAGCTCCTTCCACGCACACCCCATCTACCTCCACAAACGCGAAGGCTACGCCCTCCTCATCCAGAACACCCGTACTCCAAGCCCAGCCGAGCACATCTGGACTGTCAAAGCCACAAGCCATGAGCTCCTCGGCACACACACCCGCGGCGAGCTCCTCTGCCAGCACGCCACTGTATAACTGCGCCGCTGCAGCAACTGCGTCCTGTTCCTCCGTCAGCACGCAGGAAAAGGCCAGTACAAGTCGACCCCCGCCGGACAGCACTCAGGCCAGCACTTCGTCCGCACGCGCTCAGTCTCTAACGTGGAGGCAGACTCCGGCCGGGGCGCCCGCGCAGCCTCATGTCATCCAGGTGCAGGCGGTCAACCTGCTGGTGCTCCCCCAGCAGCCGAGCATCCAGGCCTCGGCTCTGGTCACCCAGGACCAGCTGCAGCGGCGGCCCCAGAACCCGCCGCCGCCCGCCTCTCGCGGCCAAACGCACGGCAACCTCATTCAGATTGAGCCACGCCCCCTGGCCCAGGCCCCCGCTGTCCAGCCCGCTGTCCAGCCCACTCAAACGTCTCAGGTTATCTCGGTGGTCCCCCCTGCGGTTCTAATAGCGGCGGCCCCAGAGAGACTCGGCCCTCCAGAGGCGGGCCACCGGATAGTTTTGGGGAGGCAGGCGCCTGAGGAGGGGGTCCCCGGTACCTCTGGTGTGGCCCCCCCGCCCCGCGGCCTCACCGTCAGGGTGCATAGGGTCATCTCCAACCCCCCAGCTCCTCCTGCCCCCACTGCGTTGGTGCCCCACAACAGAGGAGAGGCCGGTCTGACTCTGGCCCCAAACCCCGAGCAGGACAATCAGGCCCCTGTTCTGGTGGCCGTCCCTCCTGCCGCCGAGGAAATTCCCAGAATAGAGGACGCAAGACCTGGACCCTCTGCACCACAACAGAGACCGGAGCAGCAGCCCCATGTTCGAGCCCTCATTACTGGTGTCGTAAGTGTGACATTTACAGGAATCATGAAGTCTGTTAACTTCTGGTTGGTCAAAGTGACGTCTCTAAATTCTTTCTGCACATTTTCTCTTTTTGTTCATCCTCCACAGCTGGATCTATTCCCAGACGTCCAAGAAACCTACGTAGCAGATCTGATCCTGCAGAATAATGTGAAAGACTTGAATGTGTAAGAAGCCCTAATGAAATGTGCTTTTTCAGTGCTTTCTGTGGAGCATCAGCAAGTTATCAAACCACACAGCGACTTGTGTATTCTAACTGGTTATATTATGTATGGTTATATTATGCACATTTCCCTCTCGTTTAGTCTAAAGGTTGACAGTGTCGTTTAGAAATGCAAATTTAAAGCTAAGGTTTTCTTTAGAAAAACAGGCTCCAGGTGGAATCAGTCACACAGCCCACTCATTGAAGAAAAAATATACAAAAAAACAACAACACACGATTAGAATATTTAACATAGATGGTGCCCGTAAATCGCAGATCGGAACACATTCTTCAAATGTTGTCAGGCTTGTTCATGTGTTGCTTTCTCTGCCCTTCTTCTAGTATCTGTAACCTCCTTTTGGAGAATCTCGAGTACCCGAGGAGGGAGACGGCAGCAGCCGTGGCAGCTCCCACCAGCATCCTGCTGGAGTCTGGAGACACCAAGGCAGAGGTGGGCATTTGCAACTTAAAAAGATAAGGATCTACTAAATTTAGGAGGAAGTTGGCTAAAATTCAGGTTATTTCCATAGTGTGCGCACATTGTTTTCATTTAGAGTCAAACAAAGCTGCATGTAAACTTTGAGACCAGGCTTCGCCAGAAAAAAGGGAAAAAAACTGTCCCGTCAGAGCAGTAAGCCGTTATGTAAAAGCTGTGTGTGCAAATTAATCATGAAGAGATTGTTCCTCATTGCATAACCGCACCGGCCAGGGCCGACCGATATGTTATTTATTTTCCAATCGTGGAACTGTTATTGGCGTCACTCACCGGATTTTAAAACCGGTTTTGAGTACAACAACATGCCTAGAAAGCAAGGGCATTACAAAAGCCATGTTTATGGGAAGAAAAAAAACAAAAACAATTGTGTCCCCGCTTTCAGGTGACCGAGGACTTGTTTGACTATTCCAAGCTGAGCTCCGTGGGACCTGACGTCATGATGCAGGCTGCTGACCTGCTCATGGCCGATTTCCGGATGCTGAGCTGCCAGGACATCAAATGGGCCCTCAACGCCCTGAAGGGACACTATGCAATCACACGCAAGGTGCCTGCACAGCCAACCTGACCTCTTTCGGTTTCTGGTCCCCCGTTTCTTCTGTGCCTTCAGCCTCTCTTTTCTTTCTATACAAGGCCTTATGCGAAGCCCTGAAGAAGTGGCAAGAATCAGGCGATCCATCGGGAAAGAGACGGCGGAGCAGGACATCCACGGAGCGCTGCTTTGTTGATTTTCATTTTGAGCACGGTGGGTAAACTCCCTCACTTCTCTCTGCTCACACTGTACGAGAAGCCCCACGCAATCACTCGCATTCACTTTCTGGGGATTACATCCTTTTTCTGTCACCTTTATGGTTTGCACAGCCTCACTGCTCTTGGCTCAAGCAAATGAGTTTGACCACAGACGGGCAGATGCTTTGTTGGAGAGCATTGTTATCCTTTCTTTTGTTCCAAAAGATGTGATAGAAAGGATTTCTCCTGCTCACTGAACACCCTTTTGGATCTCCAGGTTCGGTGAAGTTGGACAGAAGGATGTATTTCTTGGAGAATGACCGGCGTTACTGCAGGACCTACACCAGTCTGGAGGCCTCTGTGCAGAAGGAGCTGTCCTTTTATCAGCAGAAGGCCAAGGAATGGGCAGAGGTACACGCCCGGATAGACTCGTCTTTCTCTCTCTGTTCTGCACACCCCAACCAGCCCTTCTTTTGTTTCTTTTAACATGTGTTGTCACATTTTAGCCATCCGCAGCATTAATTTACCTCTTTGTTTTAGTTCATCTGTTAACATAATGCTGTATTTTATCTCTGTAGAGATTAGTCCTTCCAGCCCCCCCCCCCTTTTTTCATATTTTTTGGAAGCTAACTACGCATGTTGGATTAGTGTTTGAATGGCGTCTCTCTCTTTTCAGCATGAAGACTTCCTGCTCGCTCTGCAGGTGAATGAGGATGAATATAAGAAGGTAAGTTAAAGTTGAAGATTCCATTTTATGTCAATCATTTTTCAAACTGTCACAAAAAAGAAAACGTCCACATGCATAAGGTTTAGGCTCCCTTTTGTGGGCAGTAGTTTCTTTCATGTACCGCAAATTTAAGACCCATCCACAGATATTAGGCTCTGTTTAAGAGCCATTGGGTAATATGGGCTGCCTGAACATTAGCATACCACGCAAAGAGGAATCTGGTTTGAAATACCTGGTGTGTGTGCTGAACGTGTGCCTCTGTGTGTGCGCAGGACGGTCAGCTGATTGAGTGCGGCTGTTGCTTCGGGGAGTTCGCGTTTGAGAAGATGACCCAGTGTTCGGACGGTCACCTGTTCTGCAAAGAGTGCCTGGTCAAGTACGCTCAGGAGGCGGTGTTTGGCTCCGGGAAGGTAGGGACCCACACCACCGCTTCTGACTAAGGCTCAACTGCCAATGTTGCCAGGCAACTGGAAGTGACTATTCCCACAAAACTCAGGAGAACTGCTGCAACGAGCAATGTGTAATCAAATAAACGTGGAAACGGATGATTGCGATTCTGATTTTCAGCCACAGGGTGATGGAGAGGGTTTTTTTTTTTCATGACAGAAATTTGATTTGCCGTTGTTGCAAACTGTGGTCGCCTCTCTTCCTCCTAAGTATCCATTTATTCAGCTGTCGTTCTCCTCACCCCTTGCCGGTGTGTGTGTGTTTGTGTGCAGTCGGAGCTGAGCTGCATGGAGGGGGGCTGCCCGTGTTCGTACCCCATGTGTGAGCTTGAGAAGGTCCTACCGGAGAACATCCTGTGTAAATACAACGAGAGGCAGGCGGAGGAGGCGGTGGCTGCCACCTGTGCTGACGAGCTAGTGAGGTGGGTGACCAGAAATCCTGCCCTCATCTCTGGACCGAAGCTCATTTTAAAGAGGGGTGGTGGTGTTTGGGTAGGGTGTGTTCTGTGCTGCTGTGGATGGTACATCAGCTCATGGAGGGGATTGTTTGGGGTTTATCGTGCACCATAAACGCACACAGTCATGTCACATCCGCCTCTTTTTCTTCTGCAGGTGTCCGTTTTGCAACTTTCCCGCCCTGCTGGACAAGGACATGTCTCTGTTCAGCTGTCCCAACCCGCGCTGCCGTAAGGTCAGTTCTGCCCCGCCGCCGTTGTCCTCCTCCTTCTGCCGACCGGACCGTGTAAAGGAAAATGTTCCCAGCTGGTGAACAAGATAGATTTGATCTAAATTTAAATTCATGAGCACCCGTCATTAATAATTCGGCACATGCCCCGTGTGCGGCGTCCGCTTGAGCATAAATCACCTGGCCGCCTTCGGAACCTGAGTGAGAGGCGAGTGATGGATGGAGGGTTGATGAGCAGTCATTTAGAGATGATTGACCGTTCCGTCCGGTGAGGTCGCCACCTCTGTCTCCCCGTCTTGTTTATCTCTGGGTGTCCTCCCTCTGTCTGAGGAATGCAGGAGGGAGGCGCCACACTCTGTCCACCAAAGCTGCCACATTCCATTCTAAAATGCTCCAACACACACACACACACACACACACACACAACTCTAATGTCCACTCCACTTGCCACATAAAAGCAACCTTAGTGTTTTTCTGTGTTTGCTCTCTAGAGCTATCTGATACGACACAAACACAGTCGCACACCTCTTAGAGATGCTGTGACAAATGTGTTGTATTTGTTTTCGTCTTGTGAAATTACAACACCATTGCTTAAGTTTGGACTCTGACATGGAAGAAATTATAGCAATTTGGGGATGAAATGCACTCCATTGAAAATGTAGCTTTGGGAAGAAGACTCCGGTTTGGAAAATCAGACAGAGAACTAAAATCTTCACCGTCAAATTTGCAGAATTAGTAGGTCAATTCCTAATTATGCCCTAACCCTAACTCATTTGTTAGGTAATATTAGGAAGCGTGGCAGCTTTTGGGGTGTTTCTGGTGCAGTTCCCTCTGTGCACCTGTAGGTGGAGCCAGAGGTTCACAGTGGGACTCAGCCCAAAGGGACTTTGGAGTCTGACTGGTTTGCACACCAGCGTCAAGCTGACATGAACCGCCGGAGCCCAGAGTGTGTGAAACAGACAGTTCTTTAAGGGGCATTACAGGAAACAGGCATTCTGTTTCTCTCTCTGTCTTTTACTTGCTTTGTTTTCCGCCAGTTGTTTCACAGGCGGCCTTGCAGCCCGCCCACCGACAGGGAGGGGCTCCATTATGTAACTAACACAGTTCCGTAGGACCACTCTTCCCGCCCTGATTGGCTGGCTGCGCTGTCCCCTCCCCTCACACTGGTTTTTCACTGGTTGGACACGCGTCCACCTCCATTTCAAATGTGGTTCAAATCAAGTTTGACCCAGATTCTCTTCCCTCTCCCTCTGAGGCGCCGTCTGACCGATAGGCTGCACACTCTCTCTCACACACACACACACACACACACAGATGTGCGTGCTAATGTATTCCACATGTTGTCTCTGGCCTGGACGGTTGAAGGGAGGAGGTCTCTTACGCAGAGGGCTGTCACTGAGCTGCTCTGCTCCATTCTGCCCCTCACCCCCCACCCAGTCTGCAGCTTATTTAACATCAGCTCTCCCCCAGTAGAACATCAGGGCGTGGATTCTCGCCTCGCACTCCATATCTTCTCCCTGACTTTGTTATTCAGTCCCATTTGCTCGCGAGACAAAAAACCCCTCCCCTCAAAATTTGCACTTTATTGAAGTGCCCGTCCCCCCACAACCAATCAGAAGTTCCACCGGCCTTATAAGGGCTGCGAGAGAAGAGACAGAGGGAGAGAGGGGTGTAGGGGAAACATGAATGAAAATGGAGGAAGAGAACACTGGAAAAAGGGGGGGCAGAACAAAGCGAGAGGAGCCCAGGTGGGAGGAGGGAGGGGATTAAAGCCGCACACCTATCCGCCGCCGTTCCTCAGGAAGTTGTTTGACCTTTGTCAAACTTCTGCCACGCTCACTTTGACTGAAGTCAAACACCAGTCAGAGCGGAGGACACGCCCCGCCCCCCCCCCCCCCCCCCC